TCATTCAATAGGAAAACTCTTTCACAGGGCTGCAGCATGCATGGTTTTTCTCTTTCCTTTTTTTTTTTTCTCCCTTTCCTTTTTTCTCTTTTTTTTCTTTTTTTTTTTTTTTTTCCCTGAAAGCCACCCAAGAAGAGATTAATCACAAGGGGGAAACTCAGCTTCACCCTCTAGCTGCAGGTCGCAATTTTTATTTGTATGGAATTGGCTTTTGGAAAGCTGAAGGCTGCCTGAGGGCAGGGACCTGATATAAGAAGAACCTGAGAATGAAGCAGCAGGGATTGATTAGCCTACTTCATATCCCACACTCCATAAGCACACTCCAACCGCAATCTAACACACCGCTGAGCTGAATAGACAAGAGAAATTGGATTCCTTCCTAATATTTAACCTTCAAGTCAGCTCCAACAGTTGTTGATATGTTGTTCTACCAGCAAGTAACAGTCGCTTTTTTATTCCAGCACCCACCCACACACATATATATACAGTTTTATAAGTTATATGCTATATATTTACATATTTTCCATTTTCAATCTGTTTCAGAGCATGGTTTACCTAATCCATTTCAGTAAAAGTTTCAGGGAAGAACAAACTGACCAAACAATTATGCATAAAGCTGTAGTGAGGGAAGGGAGGGAAAGAGAAATAAAAAGTAGAAAAAACACATTGTCTGTTTTATGTCTTTCAAGGTCTTTTTCACACAGTCATTTTTATTTTACCTGTAATTTTCCCAGTTCATTAATTGCAGGAATAGTCAGAATTGTATCTAGTGATATGGATGCTGCTGGTGCTGCCATCCTGGAGGTTTCATTTTAGGTTTTTCTGTGTAGATGAGGAATGTGCATTTTGGGGAATGTTTGCACACCTGGCAGAAGGGTGGGTGAGACCCGAGCAGTTCAGCGCGGCACACGAGACTCTCCTTGGGGCTGCCCAGGACAGGGAGCAGCCACAGCTCCTGGGCCCACCTCAAGCCCCTGAGCAAAGCTCCCCTTTCCAGCATGAGGAGAAGCTCAGAACATGATGCAGAATGGCATCATGTCAAAATGGTGATTACAGTGGGGTGTTTGGGGGCTTGGGTCTCAGAGGAGGGCTCTGGGAGAGGGGTTCTCTTTAGGAAAGGCTGTCCTGCGGTACAATCCCTGCTCTGCAAATATGCCCACCCCACTTTGCTGAGGTCTGACATGCTGAGCAGCCCCTGGCAAACTCCTGGGGTCGCTGAAAGGCTGCCTGGAGGCTTGCTGACCTCCCCAGGCTGCCTTCCCTGTGCTGGGGCTGTGGAGTTGCATGCATCCCAAGCTCCCCATTGCCTGTGACCTGCCTTGGCTTCCAAGCTCCCAGGAGGACTGAGCTGACACCCACGCTCTGCCATGATCCCCATAAGCTTGGGTATAAACGCTCCCCATGGGGTTTTCCAAAGGGGAGTTTTCTAAAAAATATCTGTCCTAGGAAAGATTCACATTTCTGGTTCTTCATTCATGTTTGGAATGAACAGAAAATGAGAAATTGGGATTTTTCTCCAAATGGTCATTTTGATTCATGCTTAGCTGCACAGCTTCTGTCCTTTCTGAGAAACTGAAGGCCCTTGCAGGGACTCCTGAGAAGGGCTGTGGCAGGAGTGAGGGCTCTTCTGTTGTTTGGTTGTCACAGGATGAGGACATGTAGGTGGGAAACACTGGCTTGTCCATCCTACTTACTACTATGGCTAGAGACTATACAGAATTTTTCTTTATGTAGAAGGAACCAGTGAGCAGTGATTATGAAGCCTTCTCACACTGTGTAACCAGCCTAGATCTTTTAGAATTGGGAACTGTCATTTTGCAGCTCATTGTGAAAAAAGGTTGTCTTAATAATACAGTCTATTGGGAGAACATGCTGCTGAAACTGCTGCAAGCAAAGTGAAATTTTCATGTAAATATCTTCAAATATTTTTATGACCCATCAGCTTGAGTTTTATAAGTCAATGTATGAGTGAATACACAAAGCTTCTCTCTTTGTTTGCATATCCTGCCTCTACTGAGTTTTAAATGTTCATGCTATGTGGACAAAATCCAACTCTACATCTGTTTATGGCATATGTAGGCAGCATCATCTCCAAGATTTTTTTTTTCATGTCTAGTTGAGCTGAGTAGCTTTGTGGAAAAAGAACTTTCAAGACTTGAGCTAGCTTCCTTATACCCTGACTGTGATTTCCCTTACAGGCTTGGGATCCTCTGGATTTCTTGACATGTTCAAAATAGGACAGCAGAAACAACTATCCCCCCTAAGAAAAGAGACACACATGACACATTTTCCCCCAGTGATGGCCCTGATAATTATGTCCATGTCCCTCTGACCACAGGAATTTGACTTTCTGGATCTGGAGACTTTAACTCACTGAATAATAAAGCTATATCCTGGTTAAGAGTAATGGAAGTGAAACAATAAGGGCTGATCAGTAGCTTAGGTTGGCATTGATGAGGGTAATAATGAGTCTGCTGGTTATGCACTTGCTTCCCATGGGATCCTGGATAAATCATGGAATTATAGCATGGTTTGGGTTGGAAAGGACCTGAAACATCATCTCATTCCAACCTCCTGCCATGGGCAGGGACACCTTCCACTATCCCAGGTTGCTCAGAGCTGTATCCAACCTGGCCTTGGACACTGCCAGGGATGGGGCACCCACAGCTTCTCCAGGCAACCTGTGCCAGGGCCTCCCCACCCTCACAGTAAAGAATTTCCTCCTGATATCTAAACCCCACAAGCCTCTCATGAGACAGCACTTCCTTCTGCGTGATTTCAGCATTTAGTCTACAAAATCTATGGATCTGCCTGTTCCAAGTATCCATCCTAGGTCTTATCTCTCTATGGTTTGAACTAACACTTAAACACAAAATTTTACCCTATTTTTTTTTTTACCACTGGTAGGGACATACTGTAACTATTATACAAAGCCAGGGCTTGCTCACCAATTTGATTATTTATGTTACTGATTAAGAAAGAAAAGGAGTGCAGGAAAGGTAAAATGGGTTTTAAAATATTTTTGTTACACAGCATTTGACAAGTGACAGAGCACTACAGCCTTCATGATAGAAAATAGAGATTTAGCAGCCTCAAAAAAATCATGGGAACAAGCTGATTTGATCATGATGTCTGTAAAATGATCATTATGTTTCATTTCTATAAGGCTGAGGTGCTTTCATGGGATATAAAGTGTTTGGTTGAAAGTAAGCACTGGGACTATATCCTAAGAAGTTACTTTGATATAGTTAGATATGTTCATGTGTTGGAATTTCTGCTTTGTCTTAAATTTTGACTGTTCTGATCTGGAACTTTGCTGGGGAATTAAAGCTGCGACCTTTCATCTGCTCCAACGCTATGGGCTGTGATTCACAGGGGCAGTGATGGCAATAAACAAAGCAATTCCCTTCCCTGTGCACTGGAAGAAGCTTTGCCATTGCATTGGCTTTTTGAATGCCCTCATTTCGTGTGTGTGTGTGTACATTTTATATGTCACTGTGTCTCTGCCTTGGTTCTGCACATTCACAGCAGTCTGCTGCCACCAATAATTCCCTGGGCTGTGTTAGCCATACCTGCCAAGTAATTTGGGATCCTTCCCCTGCGAGCATGCTTTCCTGATGGCAAGTGCCTAAGACTGCAGGTTATAAAGAAAAGCCATTTTTTAAAGCTGAACTATAAATATGTGTTTGTGTGGTGATCCCAGCACATCCCAGCACACTGGCAATGGAGGAGGGGGAGTGAGAGTGCTCCACGTGGGCCGCAGAGAGAGTTCCTTCTGAGGTGCTTGAGAGACATTTTAAACATCTCCCCCTTTTGATATATATTGCTATTAAGGTGCTGGTTGCAAATTTTGTGACTAATAGTCTCGCCTGATATTTCTAACAACTTAATGAGCACTGTGACAAATGTAAATAGCGTTTCGGTAACACAAGTTTCCAGTTTGTATTAAAATGGAAGAAGGCCTTTAGTAAGACATAGTTCCTGCTGGGCTGTGTGCTGTAAAACCTCATTTTGAGCCCGTGCCTGTACCCAGGAGCTCAGAGCCCAAACAGGCTAGAACAATTTCTGTCTTCATTTTTATAAATGAGAAACTGAGGCAAACGAGTCATGAAGTGCCGTGTCCAGATTGCATGGAGACGGTGTAATAGAGCCAGAAAATCTATTGTGCTATCTTCCTGTCAAAGAGATGTGTTGCTTTCCTGACCTTACTGTTATGGAAACCTTGCGTGAGGTGAGTAGCCTTTCAAGAGTGGGATGCCAGACTGTATTTCTTTTTCCCCAAAATAAATTTGTCCGTGCCACTAGTAGCTCACCAGTAATCAGGAAATATTGCTTTCCAAAGAGATAAGATGCTTATCAGGTGGCAGAGCTGCATAGGGTGCTGGAGTACAAGAGGCAAGGGTATGTAAGCAGCAGCTCCTGCCCATGGAAAAGCCCCTTTTTTGGTCACTGTGAATCCCCTGTGCCATCACTCCCCCAGCACCAGCCAAAATTCCTTTGCTTGCTATCCCCTGCACTGCTCGTGCCTGTTTTAAGCCTGCTGTCACTGCTAGTAAGCGATGAAATTGTTGTATCCACAGTATTGCCTGAATTAAGCACATGTAATCACGTCCCAGGAAAAAAAAAAGTAAAGTATAAAAGGAGACTTAGGTCAAATTTACCACAGGAAGATATAAAAAATAAATGCAAGTAGAGGGGAAATGAGAATTGCATAAGAAAAAGAAGTAATAGCAATTAGATGAAGTGACAAAAGTGCTGGGTTTCGCTGAAGGAAGCCTTATCTGAAGCAACATCCAACTGTTGGCCCTAATCTCATCAACACCCAGACCCTAATGCTCGTTAAATCCCATAATGTGCCTGAGCCCTGTTGAACACAGGCTACAGCTTTGCCAGGGCAGCCTTTCTCTGCTGGCAATAAAATGCTATATAAAGTAATTCAGTAATTCTAAGATGCTCCATTTATGATTTTGCAAAAATTGCCACTCTCTTCTGGGTTTCAGACTAACGAGAGGATTTAAGCACAGTGTTAGTATTGCCTCTTCTGTGGAAAAGCCATAACCATGAAGGAAAACAGAAACAGGAAATAATGAGGAAAACTCTGTGTAAAGCAGAATTCTCCAGGTGCACTGGTAAGAGCATGTTTTATTAGGCATGATTATGTTCTGTGCTGTTTATTCAATCACAGCATCATCTCCATCCTCCTTTTCCTCAGCTCCTCTGCAGTCACTGTCACTTCACATCAGGCACAATGGAAACAGACACATATTTATTCACCCTGACCCAAAAGTAAGTTTTGTGGCATCTGTATCTGTATCCACTTGCTGTTGTTGGATGTGTTATGCCAACCTTCAGAGTCAGCACCTGAGCAATGTACTGCCTCCAGCAAAGAGTGGGTCTGTTCAGTCACAGCCTGTCACTCCTGCTGACCCCACCACGTGCCCTGCTGGCTGGCACCATGGCAAATTTGGCCTTTTTGCTGCACACCTTACCAAAGGATAGGACCTCTTTTCTCTTTTTGTTTCATTACAGTCACTGATACATTCTTCCTTCTGGGTTTCCCATCTCTCCATGGAACCTTTTCTTCAAAGGTTCTTCTGCTTCCTTATGGGACCTTTTGGTCTTCTCCAACTATATCTTAATCCACACAGATTCCCATAATGACTTGCTCTTCATTTATTGGTTCCTCTTATTTTTACCCTATTTTTTTAGAACCTACCTATTCACAGATGCTTCATTCTCTCCTTTTCATACAATCCCGTCCCACAGATGATGCACACTACTTGACCCACAACATATTTATTTAGTTTGAATTCAGTAGTTCTTCCCAATGAAATTAACCTCAAAACACTCACTGCTTTTTCACACTGATTTTTTTTTTTTTTTTGTAAGTTCTCTTGCCAAGATATGTCTTTTTGATGGGCTAAATTTCTTTACACCTCTTTCCAGCCAAAGTAACATAATTTTCCCTTTGAGAAGAGCAGTTTCTCTTTCTCATTCCAACTGACTTCTGGTTGCTGATGAAATCTGAAAGTAAGCTGTGCTGGACAGCAGGACATTTATTTTATCAGACACACAGATTTTGTTCCTTTGCATGTTATGCTTAAGAATGTGACCTACTTGAGGGATCTTTAGACCATGTGCCAAATAATGGCTACATTGCACTACAATTACATATCCACACTTTGAAGAAAATGCTGTTTCTGTTGTGACACTGTTTTCATCCAGTCTAACGGGTTTTATTCTCTAGGAAAGTAAAAGATCAGAATGCTTCTATTAACCTTGCTCTCCTAAATGTTTGAGTAGTTAAATTCTAGGTCATTATATTGATTCACAAGGCAACAAGTAAATTCTGTGGTTGGTAAGTATTTGCCAGTTGACTGGGCTTTATCCAATTCCATCTTGCTCCTGCAGCAGCATAATATTTCCATTGCAGTCAGCTTACGGGTGCAAATGATCCCATCTGCATCTTGATTTATTCCTTACTAGTTGGAAATATGCAGTGTCAAGTTTTCAGTGAATTTTGCTACCTCCTAATGAGGATTCGATGTAACAGGATTTTCTCCAGCTTCAGTCTTGTAGAAAAGTTTTTCTGCATATCTGTCTTTTCAAATCAAAAAAGATACAGTGTGCTGGTATATAGTACATTTTACTTCCAATAAAGTTTTAGGCTGTGCTAAAGAAAAAGAGAACTGTGCACTTCAGTCTTACCATTTACACCACTGTGGTATTGACAAGAAGCAGAAAAAGATGGTTGGGAAGATGAGGATTAACTCTTGGGTCTGGTGGAGAAGATGGAAAGAAGGGGTTTTAAGGCCTATTAACTCTCTTGAAACAGAAGATCAGTAAAAACAAAGGCTCAATAGCAGAATTTAGGGCTCAAAAAGGCTGCTCTGAGTTGCTCAGTGTACAGCAACCCATATATTTAAGTGGTTTGCTAGACTAGTGTTACTAGAACATATTGTTTACTTCCCTAAATCCTTTCTTTTCTGGCTTATATGCATTGGAGAGAAAGCGAATAGCCCCTTTCCTTTATGGCACTGAAAGGCTCTGTCTGGATTGACAGGAAGCACAGCAGCCTTCGTGGGTCACAGGGACTTTTTTTTTGTGGTGGCAGAGTCTGTCCCTGACCACATCATTCACTCATCCAGGCGTTCGTGAGTCCAGGTGCTTCAGAACTGGTCCTGCTGCTTGTTTAAGGGTGAGGTGCCAAAAGGTGCAGTTGCTGTTATGAAAAGATATCCACTCGGTTGCGGAGTTAAAATCAGATTGTCACTGATTTAAAAATCTGATATTGCTGTCCATCACACTAGAACATGCTAATGGTTCCTGTAAAGTTGGAAATCCTTGTGCTTATGCAGTGTTATGTAGTAATGCTCCTGACCAGCATAAGCACGGAGATTTGGTTATTATGTAGAAGAGTTATAATAAGAAATATGACTGCAAAAGCAAAGCAGTCAGTTGAAATTGGTCTATAATTAAATGCTTAGAAAATTCTGTGCTTAGCTCATTTTAAAATCAAGTGCTTCTTTGTAGCAATTTCCTTTCTTTAATTACAATTTCCTGTCTAGTTTGACATTTACAATGCAATCTTGGGGGACATGTTTGTGATTTATTATTCTTGCTCCTATCAGGATATCACTCGGCAGAAATGAGTTTATAAAATAAGAGCTCAAATTATTATGGCCTTTGACCAATAAAGCTGGCTCATAATTTCAGGCCTGAGAAAAGATTAACATTTTTGACAATCAAATGCAGAATTACCAATGGGGGACAATTTTGAAAACTATTTCAATTTTCTGAAACATTGTACATTTTTAATAAGGAATATATAACTGGTTATATATCGGAGCACAGGCTTAAGAGTAGAAAGAGCAATAGTGAATTGTAATGCAAACCTGAAAGGAAGACTTGAACATCTAACATTGTTTAGCCTCTTCTGAATGAAATTGAAACTGCTAAATCAACACTACTTGAAAATTACCTAATGGAAGAAATATAAAAGCTCAGACAATTTCACAGCACTGCACTCTTCCTTTTCTTTAGCATTCCTGACTCCTTAGGCTAATTTGTCTGGAGGAGCCAGGAGAAATTTTTCTGGTTTTGGTTAGTTTTACTTTTTTCAGATCTTACTGAATACATTTTTTTCTTGGTTATTATTTTTCTTTTGGGGTTTCATTTAGAGAAACAGATGCCCCTGCTAAACTGCATAAACATGATCTATTCAGCTGTCACTGCTTTTCCAATGACTTTCTTTGTCCCCGATTCAGGAAAATGTCATTGTTCAGGACAACACAGAAGTCAAAATGAATTCTCCATGACTCGTGCAAATGTTCAAAGTTAAATGTGAACTTGTCTGTAAGACAAAGTAGGCACCCTGCCTTGTGTATTGGGAAGAGTGAGTTCTCAAAAGCTCTATCCAAAGTGGTAGGTGTGTTTTTAGTGTTAATTTGATGTAATGTCAAAATGGATGGCCTATAAAATTATATTGAAGGAGAGAGAAATGCTATTGGCAGGGAAGAAAATCTGTATCTTTGGAGATCTTTAAAACAGCTCGTGTACACATTGCTAGGAGGTGCAAATGCTTAGCACCTCTCAAAGTCAGGCTGCTTTTATTTAGATGCCAGCATATAGAGTTAAGAGCCTATTTTTAAGAACTGTGAATTAAAATCATTATTTGAAAGAATCTGTCCTCCCTCATGCCCGAGGAGATGAAAAAACATGGTGTTAGTTACTTTGTTTTAGTAAGGCAAAAGTGAGAAAGTGGCAGGACTCTGACTCCAAGTAGCTCCTGGGATAAGGGCAGGGCTGGGAATCCTGCCACAGCATTTCCTGGGCCTCAGCTGCCTGCACCCAACTCTTTAGCTGTGAGCACATCAATTTTCTGTCCTCTACAAGCATTATTCCATGGGATGTATTTTACTTCAGGGGTGGGCTTACGTGAATGCTGAAGCATCCCTTTTCTAGGGCGCCTGTCGGCAGTTTGAATGCAGGGGAGGAAGTCATGTGGAAGTCGGATGCAGCCATGAAGAGGTGATCATGAGCACCTGCACTGCTCCCCTGGGCAGGAGACCTGGCAGGAATGAGGGGCTGCTGTCTTCCCAGAGAAAAGACTCCCGGCAAGTCCATGGGCTGGTCAAAACATGTAGCTCTGAAGTGGGGAGAAGGAAGGTCAAACCTATGGAACAGCATGATTTGCTTAGAAAATTATCTGAGCAGTTCTGAAAAGTAACATGGTAGCAGGAGCCAATACTTGTAAGAAAGGAAGAAGGTTCAGTGAGTAATGAGACCAACATATCTTCATCATCCATTGTCAAAACAGAGTGGAATTTTGATGGCTGGGTATGTTTGACTTTGGGCTGTGACCAGTAATGATGACTAGAGAACCATTTTCTCCAGCTACTTCCATTGCTTAATTATTTTTTTACAGAGTTACCTCAGAAAGGACAAGGATTTGTTAACCTGTCATCTTTGCATCTTGATAACGAGATAGAAAATAATCTAGAGTTCCATAACTATCTAGTCTGGAAAGGCACGTGTTATGAACTCAAATACCTTCTGGCTATAAAAAGGTTTTCTGCAGTCGTAAAACTGCAGAGTTTACATAGGAGCTGCACATGCCAGTACACACCTGCCAAAAGACTCCATTCAGTCAAACTCTGAGACATAATAGGTCATGCTCTGTCTCTTCTCATTAGACCCTGGCCAGGAGGCCAGTGCTGGCAGCTCAGTCCAAAGGCCTTTCTAAACATCTAGAAAAGTTTTCCCTATTGAGCAGGATTTGCGTACAAAATCCTCAGTGTGTTCAAATTTGACTTGAATTCCTAAATTGAAAGAATTAAATTACCTCTCCAAAAATCTTCTCCCTTTTCTTTAAGGATTATGTTCTACTCTTTAATTCTGGGCTGGGTGGATTCCCATGCAGAAAGAAAAACATACTTATGAGACGAGGCTCCTCAGCTGATGTGAATCAGCAGAGCATCGCTGCTGTCATGAAATCATGCAAGTTTATACATGCTGATTGCTTGGCCCTTAACATCACACGATTTTCCTAGAGCTGTGTGTTTTGACTCTGTCAAATCTTTCAACCCACATATGGATTATATATTTTTTTTACTTATGCACAGATGTT